CCCGCATCGGCCGCTGGCGACCGGCGGCTCGGTCGGCGGGGCGCGCCACTTCTGTCGTGCCAGCTGCCGCTGGTCATTTTTGCGTTCAGAGAAGGGAAAAAAAGATGGCCTCCTGACGTTCCAAGAGAGCCTCGAGACGCCCTCGAGAGGGCCTCAGGAGGCCAACCATTTTTACCCCCCCCCCCACACGCACACACACCCCAGGGTTTTAAAGGTTTTTCGGGTTCTCCCAGGAGGGCCCAGCACGGCCCGCGAGGGCCCAAATCGCACGGCCCCAGAGGCCCACCAAAGGGGCCGATTACAGTCCAAGAGGGCTCCCAGACGGCCCCAGAGGGCCCCAAGGCGGCCCAAGATGCACCAAGACAGTCCCAAGAGAGCCCCAAGAAGGTCCCAAGAGGCTCCCAAGGGACTTCCAAGGGGGCCCGAAGAGGCGGTGTTGGGACTTGGCTGCTTGGGCGTGGGGATTGGGCTGGCCCCAAGACGGCCCAAGAGTCCGGCCACTGCCCTCGAGACCCCCGAGAGGGCCTCAGGAGGCCCAAAACCTGCTCACGCCTTAGGTTTTGTGATGTTTTTGGGGTTCTCGCCCTTCTTGGGCGCAGAAGAAGCCCAGGCGGCCCAAGAGGTCCCGCAGATCGTCCCGAGACGGTCCCAGAGGCCCCCCAAAGGGCCCGAAAACGGCCCAAGAGGGCCCCCCAGACGGCGCGCGAGGGCCCCGAGACGGCCCAAGAGGTCTCCAATATGTCCCCACGAGAGCACTACGAGGGCCCCAAGAGGCCCCCAAGAGAGCCCGAAGAGGCGGTGGGGCCTGGGCTGATTGGGCGCGGGGACTGGGCTGGCCCCAAGACGGTCCAAGAGGGCCAAAACGGCTCCAACAGGGCCCGCGAAAGATTCCCAATAATCCCCAGAGACGCCAAGTAACATCATGGCTCTCCACAGCGAGCGGTGACGTAACAAGCTCTGAACACCAAGTCTCCCCGGAGCGCAGTGACGTAAAGAGCACTGCGCAGTAAGGCACCCGAGGGCGAGCGGCAACGTCAAAGTCTGCGAACACCAGGGCTCCCAACAGAGAGCGGAAACGCAACGAGCACTTCACGCCAAGGCTCCCGAGATCGAAGGGTGCCATGAGCCATCTCGGGCACGCTCCTGCAGCGTCTTTCCGTTCCCGTGCCGGCCCGGGTAACGGAAAGAGCGAGGTGCGAGTGATGGCGTTCTTGCGTGGGGGGCGAAGTCCTTCAGGGAGGGGCCCAGGGGAGGGGCGAGGGCTGGGAGTGCCAGATGTAATGGCCGCCCGGGGGTCGTTTTCTGTCCGCATGTTTTCGAATGGGGCGGCCCCTGGGCGGCCCCCATGGCCCGTTTCCAAGTATTTTTTCGAGCGAAGCGGCTCGGGGGCCCCAGGGCGCCCCAAGAGGGCCCAAACGGCCCAAATACGCCCCCAAGAGCCCCCCATTGCCTCCAGACGGTTCCGTAACAATTTTGGCTCGAGGCCGTTTCGCATTAGTCGGCTTTACCGTCTTCTACATTTCCTTAACGGTGTTTTGTTCGCTCGAGTACCGAACTGGCAACGATGGCTTCCTTGCTAGCCTTGGCGCTGGTGGCCCTGGCCGCCCGCGCAGGGGCATTTACGGTTGAGGCCGAGCGCGCGCAGGTAGGGGCCATCGGTTGGACCTATTACGCCATAGGTTGCGGCGCTAGCCCGTATCTCCTGCACATGGACGAGAGTACCATGGAAGAGTGTGAAGCTGCGTGCGCAGGCATGTCAGCTTGTTATGGCTTCCAGCGCCGTGGTGACCAATGCTGGCTCGACGATGGCGGTGACAACAATATATCTGGAAGGCTCGTTGGGCACTCGCTGACAACGAGGGCGGCAGCCCAAGCCGCGTCCTGGCATTGCGCAGTGCGTTCGACGACCTCTCCCAGGTCATCTCAGACGCCCGGTCCGACGGCACATATCGGTGCCAATATGGATTTCGAATCCGATTTGGTCAGTGATTATATCTACATGGTGCCTTCGGGCTGGACCGGAGCAATTGCTCCTTTGATTCGGTCTGGCAGTTTTGCTTGGGGTGGCACTGCTGCGGCAGAGGGGGGCAATTTCCTCGGGATGCAGGGGGGTCACGCATACGTGGAGCAGCAGATTGCAAACCTGGCGGGTGGTCCATTTGCGCTGTCGCTTCAGCGAGCCGCTCGTCCCGGCGGCTTTTTCAACCCGAGTTTGACAGTGACTTTAAACAGTGTGGTGATGTACCAGGAAGTCGATATCAGTGATGCAGAATGGGGATTGGTATCAGTCGTTGTGAACGATAGCGTGGCTGCGTTGTTTGGCAACGCAATTTCCCTGCGATTGGCGAACACTCCGACACCTGGTGGAGACAGAACTGTGCATGTCGACGATATTCGGATTGTCGTGGCCCCGACGAGCAGCCCAACCTCCAGCCCGACATCGTCCCTGACGCCCAGCCCGACGAGCAGCCCGACGAGCAGCCCGACGAGCAGCCCGAGTTCGTCCCCGACGCCCAGTGCCCAGTCCGACCTCGCCCCCGACGCCCAGTCCGACGAGCAGCCCGACCCCCAGTCCGTCCTCGTCACCGACAAGCAGCCCGACGAACGCCCCGACCTCCAGCCCGACTTCGTCCCCGACGCCCAGTCTGACAAGCAGCCCGACGAGCAGTCCGACCTCGCCTCCGGCGCCGAGCCCGACGCCGGCAGCGCCACCTCCAGCGGGCGGAGCAGGTGCTGGAGCCTCCGCCGTCGGCGACCCCCACCTGCAAAACGTTCATGGCGAGCGGTTCGACCTGATGAAGGCGGGCAAGCATGTGCTGATCAACATCCCTCGTGGAATGAGTGCTGAAAACGCACTGCTTCGCGTGCAGGCCGATGCGCGCCGCTTGGGTGGACAGTGCGCGGACATGTATTTCCAGCAGATCGACGTTACCGGGTCTTGGGCAGAGGCCACGCAAGCTGGAGGGCTTCGTTACAGCGTATCGCAGTATGACGCCAAGACTCAGGAATGGGTTGCCTTCGGCAAGGTCGAGGTCAAAATCGTGCGTGGACGTACGGACAGCGGCCTCCGGTACCTGAACTTGTACGTGAAGCACTTGGGGCGAGCGGGCTTTGCAGTCGGAGGTCTACTGGGAGAAGATGATCACGAGGACGTGACCACCGCTCCTGCCGCCTGTTCTCAGCGCTTAGCCCTTATAGCAGGGGCGCACCGCGACGGAGACCCAGAGGTGGCTTCGGTCGCAGTGGCAAGCTTCGCTTGACCATGATGGTGTGTTCGCTATCTTGATTTAGACAGCTTGTCCCCGGCCTCGGCCGCTGGCGACCGGCGACTCCGTCGGCTGGGCGTGCCACCTACGCGGGGTTAGCTGCCGCTGGTCATTTCTGCGTTCAGAGAAGAAGTGCGCTTCTTCTGCCTTGCCCTCCCTGCTGTGTGCACCCACTGATTTAGACAGCTTGTCCCCGCGTCGGCCGCTGGCGACCGGCGACTCCGTCGGCTGGGCATGCCGCTTATGCGGGGCCAGCTGCCGCTGGTCATTTCTGCGTTCAGAGAAGAAGTGCGCCTCTTCTGCCTTGCCCTCCCTGCTGTGTGCACCCACTGATTTAGACAGCTTGTCCCCGCATTGGCCGCTGGCGACCGGCGGCTCGGTTGGCTGGGCGTGCCACTTCTGCCGTGCCAGCTGCCGCTGGTCATTTCTGCGTTCAGAGAAGAGAAAAAAATATGGCCTCCTGACGTTCCAAGAGAGCCTCGAGACGCCCTCGAGAGGGCCCCAGGGGGCCAACCATTTTTACCCCCCCCCCCCCCCCAGGGTTTTAAAGGTTTTTCGGGTTCTCCCAGGAGGGCCCAGCACGGCCCACGAGGGCCCAAATCGCACGGCCCCAGAGGCCCTCCAAAGGGGCCGGATGCAGTCCAAGAGGGCTCCCAGACGGCCCCAGAGGGCCCCGAGACGGCCCAAGAGGCACCAAGACAGTCCCAAGAGAGCCCCAAGAAGGTCGCAAGAGGCTCCCAAGAGACTTCCAAGGGGGCCCGAAGAGGCGGTGTTGGGACTTGGCTGCTTGGGCGTGGGGATTGGGCTGGCCCCAAGACGGCCCAAGAGTCCGGCCACTGCCTTCGAGGCCCCCGAGAGGGCCTCAGGAGGCCCAAAACCTGCTCATGCCTTAGGTTTTTCGATGTTTTTGGGGTTCTCGCCCTTCTTGGGCACAGAAGGGACCCAGACGGCCCAAGAGGTCCCGCAGATAGTCCCGAGACCTCCCAAAGGACCCGAAAACGGCCCAAGAGGGCCCCCCAGACGGCGCGCGAGGGCCCCGAGACGGCCCAAGAGGTCTCCAATATGTCCCCACGAGAGCACCACGAGGGCCCCAAGAAGCCCCCAAGAGAGCCCGAGGAGGCGGTGGGGCCTGGGCTGATTGGGCGCGGGGACTGGGCTGGCCCCAAGACGGTCCAAGAGGGCCAAAACGGCTCCAACAGGGCCCGCAAAATATTCCCAATAATCCCCAGAGACGCCAAGTAACATCATGGCTCTCCACAGCGAGCGGTGACGTAACAAGCTCTGAACACCAAGTCTCCCCGGAGCGCAGTGACGTAAAGAGCACTGCGCAGCAAGGCGCCCGAGAGCGAGCGGCAACGTCAAAGTCTGTGAACACCAGGGCTCCCAACAGAGAGCGGAAACGCAACGAGCACTTCACGCCAAGGCTCCCAAGATCGAAGGGTGCCATGAGCCATCTCGGGCGCGTTCCTGCAGCGTCTTCCCGTTCCCGCGCCGGCCCGGGTAACGGAAAGAGCGAGGCACGAGTGATGGCGTTCTTGCGTGGGGGGCGAAGTCCTTCAGGGAGGGGTCCAGGGGAGGGGCGAGGGCTGGGGGTGCCAGATGTAATGGCCCTCTGGGGGTCGTTTTCTGTCAGCATGTTTTCGAATGGAGCGGCCCCCGGGCGGCCCCCATGGCCCGTTTCCATGTATTTTTTCGAGCGAAGCGGCTCGAGGGCCCCGGGGCGTCCCAAGAGGGCCCAAACGGCCCAAATGCGCACCCAAGAGCCTCCCATTGCCTCCAGACGGTTCCGTAACAATTTTGGCTCGAGGCCGTTTCGCATTAGTCGGCTTTACCGTCTTCTACATTTCCTTAGCGGTGTTTTGTTCGCTCGAGTACCGAACTGGCAACGATGGCTTCCTTGCTAGCCTTGGCGCCGGCGGCCCTGGCCGCCCGCGCAGGAGCATTTGCGGTCGAGGCCGAGCGCGCGCAGGTAGGAGCCATCGGTTGGACCTATTACGCCATAGGTTGCGGCGCTAGCCCGTATCTCCTGCACATGGACGAGAGTACCATGGAAGAGTGTGGAGCTGCGTGCGCAGGCATGTCAGCTTGTTGTGGCTTCCAGCGCCGTGGTGACCAATGCTGGCTCGACGATGACGGTGACAACAATATATCTGGAAGGCTCGTTGGGCACTCGCCGACAACGAGGACGGCGGCCCCAGCCGCGTCCTGGCATTGCGCAGTGCGTTCGACGACCTCTCCCAGGTCATCTCAGACGCCCGGTCCGACGGCACATATCGGTGTCAATATGGATTTCGAATCAGATTTGGTCAGTGATTATATCTACATGGTGCCTTCGGGCTGGACCGGAGCAATTGCACCTTTGATTCGGTCTGGCAGTTTTGCTTGGGGTGGCACCGCTGCGGCAGAGGGGGGCAATTTCCTCGGGCTGCAGGGGGGTCACGCATGCGTGGAGCAGCAGATTGCAAACCTGGCGGGTGGTCCATTTGCGCTGTCGCTTCAGCGAGCCGCTCGTCCCGGCGGCTTTTTCAACCCGAGTTTGACAGTGATTTTAAATAGTGTAGTGATGTACCAGTAAGTCGATATCAGTGATGCAGAATGGGGATTGGTATCAGTCGTTGTGAACGATAGCATGGCTGTATTGTTTGGCAACGCAATTTCCCTGCGGTTGGCGAACACTCCGACACCTGGTGGAGACAGAACTGTGCATGTCGACGATATTCGGATTGTCATGGCCCCGACGAGCAGCCCAACCTCCAGCCCGACATCGTCCCTGACGCCCAGCCCGACGAGCAGCCCGACGAGCAGCCCGACTTCGTCCCCGACGCCCAGTCCGACGCCCAGTCCGACCTCGCCCCCGACGCCCAGTCCGGCGAGCAGCCCGACCCCCAGTCCGTCCTCGTCACCGACAAGCAGCCCGACGAACACCCCGACCTCCAGCCCGACTTCGTCCCCGACGCCCAGTCCGACAAGCAGCCCGACGAGCAGCCCGACCTCGTCCTCGACGCCCAGCCCGACGAGCAGCCCCGCAAGCACCCCGACGCCCAGTCCGACCTCGCCCCCGACGCCCAGTCCGACGAGCAGCCCGACCCCCAGTCCGTCCTCGTCACCGACAAGCAGGCCGACGAACACCCCGACCTCCAGCCCGATTTCGCCCCCGACGCCCAGTCTGACAAGCAGCCCGACGAGCAGTCCGACCTCGTCTCCGGCGCCGATCCCGACGCCGGCAGCGCCACCTCCAGCGGGCGGAGCAGGTGCTGGAGCCTCCGCCGTCGGCGACCCCCACCTGCAAAACGTTCATGGCGAGCGGTTCGACCTGATGAAGGCGGGCAAGCATGTGCTGATCAACATCCCTCGTGGAATGAGTGCTGAAAACGCACTGCTTCGCGTGCAGGCCGATGCGCGCCGCTTGGGTGGACAGTGCGCGGACATGTACTTCCAGCAGATCAACGTTACCGGGTCTTGGGCAGAGGCCACGCAAGCTGGAGGGCTTCGTTACAGCGTATCGCAGTATGACGCCAAGACTCAGGAATGGGTTGCCCTCGGCAAGGTCGAGGTCAAAATCGTGCGTGGACGTGCGGACAGCGGCCTCCTGTACCTGAACTTGCACGTGAAGCACTTGGGGCGGGCGGGCTTTGCAGTCGGAGGTCTACTGGGAGAAGATGATCACGAGGACGTGACCACCGCTCCTGACGCCTGTTCTCAGCGCTTAGCCCTTATAGCAGGGGCGCACCGCGACGGAGACCCAGAGGTGGCTTCGGTCGCAGTGGCAAGCTTCGCTTGACCATGATGGTGTGTTCGCTATCTTGATTTAGACAGCTTGTCCCCGGCCTCGGCCGCTGGCGACCGGCGACTCCGTCGGCTGGGCGTGCCACTTATGCGGGGCCAGCTGCCGCTGGTCATTTCTGCGTTCAGAGAAGAAGTGCGCTTCTTCTGCCTTGCCCTCCCTGCTGTGTGCACCCACTGATTTAGACAGCTTGTCCCCGCATCGGCCGCTGGCGACCAGCGACTCCGTCGGCTGGGCGTGCCACTTATGCGGGGCTAGCTGCCGCTGGTCATTTCTGCGTTCAGAGAAGAAGTGCGCCTCTTCTGCCTTGCCCTCCCTCCTGGTTGAACCACTTGATTTAGACAGCTTGTCCCTGCAGCGGCCGCTGGCGACCGGCGGCTCGGTCGGCTGGGCGTGCCACTTCTGCCGTGCCAGCTGCCGCTGGTAATTTCTGCGTTCAGAGAAGAGAAAAAAGATGGCCTCCTGACGTTCCAAGAGAGCCTCGAGACGGCCTCGAGAGGGCCTCAGGAGGCCAACCATTTTTACCTCCCCAGGGTTTTAAGGTTTTCGGGTTCTCCCAGGAGGGCCCAGCACGGCCCACGAGGGCCCAAATCGCACGGCCCCAGAGGCCCTCCAAAGGGGCCGAATACAGTCCAAGAGGGCTCCCAGACGGCCCCAGAGGGCCCCAAGACGGCCCAAGAGGCACCAAGACAGTCCCAAGAGAGCCCCAAGAAGGTCGCAAGAGGCTCCCAAGAGACTTCCAAGGGGGCCCGAAGAGGCGGTGTTGGGACTTGGCTGTTTGGGCGCGGGGATTGGGCTGGCCCCAGGACGGCCCAAGAGTCCGGCCACTGCCCTCGAGACCCCGGAGAGGGCCTCAGGAGGCCCAAAACGAACTGTGCATGTCGACGATATTCGGATTGTCATGGCCCCGACGAGCAGCCCAACCTCCAGCCCGACATTGTCCCTGACGCCCAGCCCGACGAGCAGCCCGACGAGCAGCCCGACGAGCAGCCCGACTTCGTCCCCGACGCCCAGTCCGACGCCCAGTCCGACCTCGCCCCCGACGCCCAGTCCGACCAGCAGCCCGACCCCCAGTCCGTCCTCGTCACCGACAAGCAGCCCGACGAACACCCCGACCTCCAGCCCGACCTCGTCCCCGACGCCCAGTCCGACAAGCAGCCCGACGAGCGGCCCGACCTCGTCCCCGGCGCCCAGCCCGACGAGCAGCCCGACAAGCACCCCGACGCCCAGTCCGACCTCGCCCCCGACGCCCAGTCCGACGAGCAGCCCGACCCCCAGTCCGTCCTCGTCACCGACAGGCAGGCCGACGAACACCCCGACCTCCAGCCCGACTTCGTCCCCGACGCCCAGTCTGACAAGCAGCCCGACGAGCAGTCCGACCTCGTCTCCGGCGCCGAGCCCGACGCCGGCAGCGCCACCTCCAGCGGGCGGAGCAGGTGCTGGAGCCTCCGCCGTCGGCGACCCCCACCTGCAAAACGTTCATGGCGAGCGGTTCGACCTGATGAAGGCGGGCAAGCATGTGCTGATCAACATCCCTCGTGGAATGAGTGCTGAAAACGCACTGCTTCGCGTGCAGGCCGATGCGCGCCGCTTGGGTGGACAGTGCGCGGCCATGTACTTCCAGCAGATCAACGTTACCGGGTCTTGGGCAGAGGCCACGCAAGCTGGAGGGCTTCGTTACAGCGTATCGCAGTATGACGCCAAGACTCAGGAATGGGTTGCCTTCGGCAAGGTCGAGCTCAAAATCGTGCGTGGACGTGCGGACAGCGGCCTCCTGTACCTGAACTTGCACGTGAAGCACTTGGGGCGGGCGGGCTTTGCAGTCGGAGGTCTACTGGGAGAAGATGATCACGAGGACGTGACTACCGCTCCGCCTGTTCTCAGCGCTTAGCCCTTATAGCAGGGGCGCACCGCGACGGAGACCCAGAGGTGGCTTCGGTCGCAGTGGCAAGCTTCGCTTGACCATGATGGTGTGTTCGCTATCTTGATTTAGACAGCTTGTCCCCGGCCTCGGCCGCTGGCGACCGGCGACTCCGTCGGCTGGGCGTGCCACTGATGCGGGGCTAGCTGCCGCTGGTCATTTCTGCGTTCAGAGAAGAAGTGCGCCTCTTCTGCCTTGCCCTCCCTGCTGTGTGCACCCACTGAGCTAGACAGCTTGTCCCCGCGTCGGCCGCTGGCGACCGGCGACTCCGTCGGCTGGGCGTGCCACTTATGCGGGGCTAGCTGCCGCTGGTCATTTCTGCGTTCAGAGAAGAAGTGCGCCTCTTCTGCCTTGCCCTCCCTGCTGTGTGCACCCACTGATTTAGACAGCTTGTCCCCGCATCGGCCGCTGGCGACAGGCGGCTCGGTCGGCTGGGCGTGCCACTTCTGCCGTGCCAGCTGCCGCTGGTCATTTCTGCGTTCAGAGAAGAGAAAAAAAGATGGCCTCCTGACGTTCCAAGAGAGCCTCGAGACGCCCTCGAGAGGGCCTCAGGTGGCCAACCATTTTTACCCCCCCCCCCCCCCCCCAGGGTTTTAAAGGTTTTTCTCCCAGGAGGGCCCAGCACGGCCCGCGAGGGCCCAAATCGCACGGCCCCAGAGGCCCTCCAAAGGGGCCGAATGCAATCCAAGAGGGCTCCCAGACGGCCCCAGAGGGCCCCAAGACGGCCCAGGAGGCACCAAGACAGTCCCAAGAGAGCCCCAAGAAGGTCCCAAGAGGCTCCCAAGAGACTTCCAATGGGGGCCCGAAGAGGCGGTGTTGGGACTTGGCTGCTTGGGCGTGGGGATTGGGCTGGCCCCAAGACGGCCCAAGATTCCGGCCACTGCCTTCGAGACCCCCGAGAGGGCCCCAGGAGGCCCAAAAACCTGCTCATGCCTTAGGTTTTTCGATGTTTTGGGGGTTCTCGCCCTTCGGGACCCAGACGGCCCAAGAGGTCCCGCAGATCGTCCCGAGACGGTCCCAGAGGCCCCCCAAAGGGCCCGAAAACGGCTCAAGAGGGCCCCCCAGACGGCACTCGAGGGCCCCGAGACGGCCCAAGAGGTCTCCAATATGTCCCCACGAGAGCACCACGAGGGCCCCAAGAGGCCCCCAAGAGAGCCCGAAGAGGCGGTGGGGCCTGGGCTGATTGGGCGCGGGGGCTGGGCTGGCCCCAAGACGGTCCAAGAGGGCCAAAACGGCTCCAACAGGGCCCGCAAAATATTCCCAATAATCCCCAGAGACGCCAAGTAACATCGTGGCTCTCCACAGCGAGCGGTGACGTAACAAGCTCTGAACACCAAGTCTCCCCGGAGCGCAGTGACGTAAAGAGCACTGCGCAGCAAGGCGCCCGAGAGCGAGCGGCAACGTCAAAGTCTGTGAACACCAGGGCCCCCAACAGAGAGCGGAAACGCAACGAGCACTTCACGCCAAGGCTCCCAAGATCGAAGGGTGCCATGAACCATCTCGGGCACGTTCCTGCAGCGTCTTTCCGTTCCCGTGCCGGCCCGGGCAACGGAAAGAGCGAGGCACGATGATGGCGTTCTTGCGTGGGGGGCGAAGTCCTTCAGGGAGGGGTCCAGGGGAGGGGCGAGGGCTGGGAGTGCCAGATGTAATGGCCGCCCGGGGTCGTTTTCTGTCAGCATGTTTTCGAATGGAGCGGCCCCCGGGAGGCCCCCATGGCCCGTTTCCAGGTATTTTTTCGAGCGAAGCGGCTCGAGGGCCCCAGGGCGTCCCAAGAGGGCCCACGCGGCCCAAATACGCCCCCGAGAGCCTCCTATTGCCTCCAGACGGTTCCGTAACCATTTTGGCTCGAGGCCGTTTCGCATTAGTCGGCTTTACCGTCTTCTACATTTCCTTAACGGTGTTTTGTTCGCTCGAGTACCGAACTGGCAACGATGGCTTCCTTGCTAGCCTTGGCGCTGGTGGCCCTGGCCGCCCGCGCAGGAGCATTTACGGTTGAGGCCGAGCGCGCGCAGGTAGGAGCCATCGGTTGGACCTATTACGCCATAGGTTGCGGTGCTAGCCCGTATCTCCTGCACATGGACGAGAGTGCCATGGAAGAGTGTGAAACTGCGTGCGCAGGCATGTCAGCTTGTTGTGGCTTCCAGCGCCGTGGTGACCAATGCTGGCTCGACGATGACGGTGACAACAATATATCTGGAAGGCTCGTTGGGCATTCGCCGGCAACGAGGACGGCGGCCCAAGCCGCGTCCTGGCATTGCGCAGTGCGTTCGACGACCTCTCCCAGGTCATCCCAGACGCCCGGTCCGACGGCACATATCGGTGCCAATGTGGATTTCGAATCAGATTTGGTCAGTGATTATATCTACATGGTGCCTTCGGGCTGGACTGGAGCAATTGCACCTTTGATTCGGTCTGGCAGTTTTGCTTGGGGTGGCACCGCTGCGGCAGAGGGGAACAATTTCCTCGGGCTGCAGGGGGGTCACGCATACGTGGAGCAGCAGATTGCAAACCTGGCGGGTGGTCCATTTGCGCTGTCGCTTCAGCGAGCCGCTCGTCCCGGCGGCTTTTTCAACCCGAGTTTGACAGTGACTTTAAACAGTGTAGTGATGTACCAGGAAGTCGATATCAGTGCTGCAGAATGGGGATTGGTATCAGTCGTTGTGAACGATAGCATGGCTGCATTGTTTGGCAACGCAATTTCCCTGCGATTGGCGAACACTCCGACACCTGGTGGAGACAGAACTGTGTATGTCGACGATATTCGGATTGTCATGGCCCCGACGAGCAGCCCAACCTCCAGCCCGACATCGTCCCTGACGCCCAGCCCGACGAGCAGCCCGGACGAGCAGCCCGACTTCGTCCCCGACGCCCAGTCCGACGCCCAGTCCGACCTCGCCCCCGACGCCCAGTCCGACGAGCAGCCCGACCCCCAGTCCGTCCTCGTCACCGACAAGCAGCCCGACGAACACCCCGACCTCCAGCCCGACTTCGTCCCCGACGCCCAGTCCGACAAGCAGCCCGACGAGCAGCCCGACCTCGTCCCCGACGCCCAGCCCGACGAGCAGCCCGACAAGCACCCCGACGCCCAGTCCGACCTCGCCCCCGACGCCCAGTCCGACGAGCAGCCCGACTCCCAGTCCGTCCTCTTCACCGACAAGCAGGCCGACGAACACCCCGACCTCCAGCCCGACTTCGTCCCCGACGCCCAGTCTGACAAGCAGCCCGACGAGCAGTCCGACCTCGTCTCCGGCGCCGAGCCCGACGCCGGCAGCGACACGTCCAGCGGGCGGAGCAGGTGCTGGAGCCTCCGCCGTCGGCGACCCCCACTTGCAAAACGTTCATGGCGAGCGGTTCGACCTGATGAAGGCGGGCAAGCATGTGCTGATCAACATCCCTCGTGGAATGAGTGCTGAAAACGCACTGCTTCGCGTGCAGGCCGATGCGCGCCGCTTGGGTGGACAGTGCGCGGACATGTACTTCCAGCAGATCAACGTTACCGGGTCTTGGGCAGAGGCCACGCAAGCTGGAGGGCTTCGTTACAGCGTATCGCAGTATGACGCCAAGACTCAGGAATGGGTTGCCTTCGGCAAGGTCGAGCTCAAAATCATGCGTGGACGTGCGGGCAGCGGCCTCCTGTACCTGAACTTGTACGTGGAGCACTTGGGGCGAGCGGGCTTTGCAGTCGGAGGTCTACTGGGAGAAGATGATCACGAGGACGTGACCACCGCTCCTAGCGCTTGTTCTCAGCGCCTAGCCCTTATAGCAGGGGCGCACCGCGACGGAGACCCAGAGGTGGCTTCGGTCGCAGTGGCAAGCTTCGCTTGACCATGATGGTGTGTTCGCTATCTTGATTTAGACAGCTTGCCCCGGCCTCGGCCGCTGGCGACCGGCGACTCCGTCGGCTGGGCGTGCCACTTATGCGGGGCTAGCTGCCGCTGGTCATTTCTGCGTTCAGAGAAGAAGTGCGCCTCTTCTGCCTTGCCCTCCCTGCTGTGTGCACCCACTGAGCTAGACAGCTTGTCCTCGCATCGGCCGCTGGCGACGGGCGACTCCGTCGGCTGGGCGTGCCACTTCTGCCGTGCCAGCTGCCGCTGGTCATTACTGCGTTCAGAGAAGAAGTGCGCCTCTTCTGCCTTGCCCTCCCTGCTGTGTGCGCCCACTGATTTAGACAGTTTGTCCCCGCATCGGCCGCTGGCGACTGGCGACTCCGTCGGCTGGGCGTGCCACTTCTGCGGGGCTAGCTGCCGCTGGTCATTTCTGCGTTCAGAGAAGAGAAAAAAAGATGGCCTCCTGGCGTTCCAAGAGAGCCTCGAGACGCCCTCGAGAGGGCCTCAGGAGGCCAACCACTTTTATCCCTCCCCGGGGTTTAAAGGTTTTTCGGGTTCTCCCAGGGGGGCCCAGCACGGCCCGCGAGGGCCCAAATCGTACGGGCCCAGAGGCCCTTCGAAGGGGCCGAATACAGTCCAAGAGGGCTCCCAGACGGCCCCAGAGGGCCCCAAGACGGCCCGAGAGGCACCAAGACAGTCCCAAGAGAGCCCCAAGGAGGTCCCAAGAGGCTCCCAAGAGACTTCCAAGGGGGCCCGAAGAGGCGGCGCGTGGACTTGGCTGCTTGGGCGTGGGGATTGGGCTGGCCCCAAGACGGCCCAAGAGTCCGGTCGCTGCCCTCGAGACCCCCGAGAGGGCCTCAGGAGGCCCAAAACCTGCTCGTGCCTTAGGTTTTTCGATGTTTTTGGGGTTCTCGCCTTTCTTGGGCGCAGAAGGGGCCCAGACGGCCCAAGAGGTCCCGCAGATCGTCCCGAGACGGTCCCAGAGGCCCCCCAAAGGGCCCGAACACGGCCCAAGAGGGCCCCCCAGACGGCGCGCGAGGGCTCCGAGACGGCCCAAGAGGTCTCCAATATGTCCCCACGAGAGCACCACGAGGGCCCCAAGAGGCCCCCAAGAGAGCCCGAAGAGGCGGTGGGGCCTGGGCTGATTGGGCGCGGGGACTGGGCCGGCCCCAAGACGGCCCAAGAGGGCCAAAACGGCTCCAACAGGGCCCGCAAAATATTCCCAATAATCCCCAGAGACGCCAAGTAACATCATGGCTCTCCACAGCGAGCGGTGACGTAACAAGCTCTGAACACCAAGTCTCCCCGGAGCGCAGTGACGTAAAGAGCACTGCGCAGCAAGGCGCCCGAGAGCGAGCGGCAACGTCAAAGTCTGTGAACACCAGGGCCCCCAACAGAGAGCGGAAACGCGACGAGCACTTCGCGCCGAGGCTCCCAAGATCGAAGGGTGCCATGAACCATCTCGGGCACGTTCCTGCAGCGTCTTTCCGTTCCCGTGCTGGCCCGGGTAACGGAAAGAGCGAGGCGCGAGTGATGACGTTCTTGCGTGGGGGGCGAAGTCCTTCAGGGAGGGGTCCAGGGGGGGGGCGAGGGCTGGGAGTGCCAGATGCAATGGCCGCCCGGGGTCGTTTTCTGTCAGCATGTTTTCGAATGGAGCGGCCCCCGGGCGGCCCCCATGGCCCGTTTCCAGGTATTTTTTCGAGCGAAGCGGCTCGAGGGCCCCAGGGCGTCCCAAGAAGGCCCACACGGCCCAAATACGCCCTCAAGAGCCTCCTATTGCCTCCAGACGGTTCCGTAACCATTTTGGCTCGAGGCCGTTTCGCATTAGTCGGCTTTGCCGTCTTCTACATTTCCTTAACGGTGTTTTGTTCGCTCGAGTACCGAACTGGCAACGATGGCTTCCTTGCTAGCCTTGGCGCTGGTGGCCCTGGCCGCCCGCGCAGGAGCATTTACGGTTGAGGCCGAGCTCGCAGGTAGGAGCCATCGGTTGGACCTATTACGCCATAGGTTGCGGTGCTAGCCCGTATCTCCTGCGCATGGACGAGAGTACCATGGAAGAGTGTGAAGCTGCGTGCGCAGGCATGTCAGCTTGTCATGGCTTCCAGCGCCGTGGTGACCAATGCTGGCTCGACGACGACGGTGACAACAATATCTGGAAGGCTCGTTGGGCATTCGCCGACAACGAGGACGGCAGCCCAAGCCGCGTCCTGGCATTGCGCAGTGCGTTCGACGACCTCTCCCAGGTCACCTCAGACGCCCGGTCCGACGGCACATATCGGTGCCAATGTGGATTTCGAATCAGATTTGGTCAGTGATTATATCTACATGGTGCCTTCGGGCTGGACTGGAGCAATTGCACCTTTGATTCGGTCTGGCAGTTTTGCTTGGGGTGGCACCGCTGCGGCAGAGGGGGGCAATTTCCTAGGGCTGCAGGGGGGTCACGCATACGTGGAGCAGCAGATTGCAAACCTGGCGGGTGGTCCATTTGTGCTGTCGCTTCAGCGAGCCGCTCGTCCCGGCGGCTTTTTCAACCCGAGTTTGACAGTGACTTTAAACAGTGTAGTGATGTACCAGGAAGTCGATATCAGTGATGCAGAATGGGGATTGGTATCAGTCGTTGTGAACGATAGCATGGCTGCATTGTTTGGCAACGCAATTTCCTTGCGATTGGCGAACACTCCGACACCTGGTGGAGACAGAACTGTGTATGTCGACGATATTCGGATTGTCATGGCCCCGACGAGCAGCCCAACCTCCAGCCCGACATCGTCCCTGACGCCCAGCCCGACGAGCAGCCCGACTTCGTCCCCGACGCCCAGTCCGACGCCCAGTCCGGCCTCGCCCCCGACGCCCAGTCCGACGAGCAGCCCGACCCCCAGTCCGTCCTCGTCACCGACAAGCAGCCCGACGAACACCCCGACCTCCAGCCCGACTTCGTCCCCGACGCCCAGTCCGACAAGCAGCCCGACGAGCAGTCCGACCTCGTCCCCGACGCCCAGCCCGACGAGCAGCCCGAGAAGCACCCCGACGCCCAGTCCGACCTCGCCCCCGACGCCCAGTCCGACGAGCAGCCCGACCCCCAGTCCGTCCTCGTCACCGACAAGCAGCCCGACGAACACCCCGACCTCCAGCCCGACTTCGTCCCCGACGCCCAGTCTGACAAGCAGCCCGACGAGCAGTCCGACCTCGTCTCCGGCGCCGAGCCCGACGCCGGCAGCGCCACCTCCAGCGGGCGGAGCAGGTGCTGGAGCCTCCGCCGTCGGCGACCCCCACCTGAATAACGTTCGTGGCGAGCGGTTCGACCTGATGAAGGCGGGCAAGCATGTGCTGATCAACATCCCTCGTGGAATGAGTGCTGAAAACGCACTGCTTCGCCTGCGGGCCGATGCGCGCCGCTTGGGCGGACAGTGCGCGGACATGTACTTCCAGCAGATCAGCGTTACCGGGTCTTGGGCAGAGGCCGCGCAAGCTGGAGGGCTTCGTTGCAGCGTATCGCAGTATGACGCCAAGACTCAGGAATATGGGTTGCCTTCGGCAAGGTCGAGCTCAGAATCGTGCGTGGACGTGCGGACAGCGGCCTCCTGTACCTGAACTTGTGCGTGAAGCACTTGGGGCGAGCGGGCTTTGCAGTCGGAGGTCTACTGGGAGAAGATGATCACGAGGACGTGACCACCGCTCCTGACGCCTGTTCTCAGCGCTTAGCCCTTATAGCAGGGGCGCACCGCGACGGAGACCCAGAGGTGGCTTCGGTCGCAGTGGCAAGCTTCGCTTGACCATGATGGTGTGTTCGCTATCTTGATTTAGACAGCTTGTCCCCGGCCTCGGCCGCTGGCGACTGGCGACTCCGTCGGCTGGGCGTGCCACTTATGCGGGGCTAGCTGCCGCTGGTCATTTCTGCGTTCAGAGAAGAAGTGCGCCTCTTCTGCCTTGCCCTCCCTGCTGTGTGCACCCACTGATTTAGACAGCTTGTCCCCGCATCGGCCGCTGGCGACCGGCGACTCTGTCGGCTGGGCGTGCCACTTATGCGGGGCTAGCTGCCGCTGGTCATTTCTGCGTTCAGAGAAGTGCGCCTCTTCTGCCTTGCCCTCCCTGCTGTGTGCACCCACTGATTTAGACAGCTTGTCCCCGCATCGGCCGCTGGCGACCGGCGGCTCGGTCGGCTGGGCGTGCCACTTCTGCCGTGCCAGCTGCCGCTGGTCATTTCTGCGTTCAGAGAAGAGAAAAAAAGATGGCCTCCTGACGTTCCAAGAGAGCCTCGAGACGCCCTCGAGAGGGCCTCAGGAGGCCAACCATTTTTACCCCCCCCAGGGTTTTAAAGGTTTTTCGGGTTCTCCCAGGAGGGCCCAGCACGGCCCACGAGGGCCCAAATCGCACGGCCCCAGAGGCCCTCCAAAGGGGCCGAATACAGTCCAAGAGGGCTCCCAGACGGCCCCAGAGGGCCCCAAGACGGCCCAAGAGGCACCAAGACAGTCCCAAGAGAGCCCCAAGAAGGTCGCAAGAGGCTCCCAAGAGACTTCCAAGGGGGCCCGAAGAGGCGGTGTTGGGACTTGGCTGCTTGGGCGTGGGGATTGGGCTGGCCCCAAGACGGCCCAAGAGTCTTAAAACGGCTCTCAAGACAGGAGGCCAACACATTATTCTCCTAGTGTTTTTCAAGGTTTTTGGGGTTCTCGCCTTTTCGGGGGCAGGACCCAAGACTGCCCAAGAGGTCCCCAAAATCGTCCCAAGACGGCTCCAGAGGCCCCAAAAGGGCCGAAAACGGTCTTCTCCACGAGGTCCAGATCCACTCAGCGTCTCGAGCGAGGTCCGCCGGCAGCAGAAGCGTCGCTGCCGTCCGGCCATGCCATGCAAGGTCGTCCGATGGCTCCTGGGGGCTACGCCACTTTCAAGTGCGCTCTCAGAAGACCCCCGCTGAGGCCCAAAGGGACTTGAGCCAGGGTACGGAGGAGAGGAAGGAGGAAAGGGAGGATGAGGATGAAGATGAGGATGAGGATGAGGAGGAGGAGGAGGAGGAGGAGGAGGAGGTAGGAGGAGGAGGAGGAGGAGGAGGAGGAGGAGGAGGAGGAGGGGAGGAGGAGGATGAGAGTATGAGGAGGAGGAGGAGGAGGAGGAGGAGGAGAGGAGGAGGAGGAGGAGGTGGATGAGGAGGAAGAGGGGGAGGTCGAGGAGGAGGAGGAGGTGGAGGAGGCGGGAGGAGGAGGAGGAGGAGGCAGAGGAGAGGAGGAGGAGGAGGAGGAGGAGGAGGAGGAGAGGAGGAGGGGAGGAGGAGGGAGGAGGAGGAGAGGGAAGAGAACGACGCCGACGAGGACGAGGACGCCGACGATGTCGACGGGGATGAGAACGACGACGAGGAGGACGATGACGACGAGGACCCCCCGTCGCTCTTTTCCGCGCCCTCTGGCCCAGGTACACAGCGGCCACCACGGCCCTGGCGTCTGCACCGGCTCCC